GATGATGCAGAGAACAAGTTCACAATACAGGCCATGGAGTTTCTGTGACCCAAGATATGGAGGAGGGAAATGTGGACAATGAATTTCCACATGCCAGCAACAGAGTTCTGGTAGGGGCTCCAGCTACTGTTCCACCTACCACTAATCTGGATGATGCAATCATTCATTCTGAAAAGAAAGGTATTTAGTTGAGCTGCTACTTGCTTTTCCATATTTTTGATGCTCATATTCCCAGGTCACCTCTTTTCCAACATTGCCAAGAGAATCTCAAATTTTAAACCCAAGCTGTCACTTGGAATTCATAAGAAGAGAGGTAACACAGCTCAGTCCTGATGACTCCTCATGTCTTTTCAAACCTATGGTATTTTTCCACATCTCTCTACTCTGATGCATAACTAAAATACAGTATACAGAGATGTAACTTCATAACTGAACAAAATTCATCATACTGATGATGAATGTTGGAAATGTTTCAATGTACTTTACTCAATTTTGTTTTACTTTGACTCATTCAATTGTGCAATACTCATATCTCCTAAATGTAGTACTTAGTGCAACAAGTTTAAGGTAGCTGACACTATCAGAGAAGAAATTACAGGTTGAATAGGAAGAATGACCTGATTTTAGTTGTAAGTACAATGTTGGTGTCATCCATTCTATGTCTAGCCCTCCTGGTCCAATTGTCACCTTCTGCTCAAAGTTCTGTAAAGACTAATTTTGCAGCCTCAGTCCATCCATAAGCCTTGGTCATCAGAACAGAGGTGGAGGTCTTTTAGTTTGTGTTCAGCAACTTGATATTCTGGTCTGTGTTGGCTTATGTATTTGCCAACCTCAACAGTTCCTATCTATTCCACTGGCATCACCTTAAGCTATCCCCTGGGGACAGTATACAACACTTGCAACTTCACTGCCTAGAGACTTCTTCAGCAGCTGTTAGTATCTATTTCATATCCCTTGGAAGAATAAGGGGGTAAGGATGGGATTTCATGCTAGTTACCATTAGCAGCTACATCTGTATGAATGTAGAGGGGTTTTGGTGTTGACAGGCAGACAGATCTCCCAGATGCAATGTATAACAAAATCTGGCACTGAGCTTTCCAATAGCCAGCAAGTGCTGAAGATATTCAGGTCAATTAAGCAAGAGGTGCTCGAGTACATGCCCCCATTAATCATTAACACAGCAGGTTAGAATGGGAGTCTGGGGTCCTGCATGTTTGTGAAAGAAGGGTAAAAAAAAGAGGAAACATTGACATATTATGGCATCCTCTCCTCGAGTGCTTCAAGTCGACCCACTTGCCTATTGGGAAGGGTAAGCATTCCTATCATGCTACCCAACAAACACAACTCACCGATCCTGCACGGCCTCCTGCCACCTCTGCAACTTGGCAATCTCATTAACCTGGAATCCATATATCCTCCGTTTATACCGATCTGCCTTGAGCGCGGCACTCGCCGTATTAATCCCCTTGCCTCCCCCCTCAGCCGCACTAACCTCCACCTGTTCCTCCCTCACCCTCCTCCTTGTCCTCCCGCCATCCGGTGTGCCTGCCCCTCCTGCGCCTGCCGCATCCCTTCCCAACTCCACCGGACCGCTTTCCGGGGGGGATCAAGGTTGGATAGATGAGGAAGAGTAGATGGGGGAAGGTGGTTCCGAAATACGCGCCATCGATGGAGCCATGTCAGGATGATTTGGGTGAGTAGAGGTCTTCGCAGTGGCTGCATTAGAGTTTTATGGATTTTTCATAGGGGATGTCAGTTAGGCCTATGGGGAGGAGGGGTTGTTGGAGGCAGAGGACGCGTGGGCAGCAACCAAAGTCGGCTCGTTTGTATTTTTCGAGCTGGGTGGAGGTTAGATGGTTGGAGGGTGAGATGAGTGGGGGGAGGAAGGGGGACGAACCATTTTAGAGAGGCTGCAGGCTGTGACTATCCATCAGGTGTGTATGAGGCCGTATAAGAGGCGTGTTTGGACGTCGAGTGAGCTTCAGAGTTCGTCTTGGATGTCGTCATCTGGCGTGATCTGTTAATGACTTAATAGATGGACTGACCTAGGTTATCAATAATGAGATAGGCCCCGGGAAGCTCATGCCATTTCTTGTCCACAAAAAGTCGCCAAAACGGACCTCAAATCCACTATCTTTTGGGCCTCAAATCCGCAATCTTGGACAAGGGTCTGCATGTGACATTCCCTAAAAAGGAAGGTTCCCATGAATAACACAGGGCGGCAAGCCGCATGGCCCACTACAGTCCATTTCAATTGAACGTTAATTTATACAAGCATGAAGAATATTTAACGGCCGTCAATATGTGGGATGACACCAAGGTGGAGGACTTTTTTAAACTCATATCCGATTTTGGACAATGTAACTTGTCCTGCATGGACCCAAGGGGGTATGCTTGACCAAGTGGGTAAAAAATCCACCTACATTTTGAATTTGAAATATTGTACCTATAATATGTTTCTGTTAATCTGCCAACATTTTTCTGGCCCGCTCAAACACTTTTGTAGTCTGCTCAAACACTTTGTAGCCCGCTCAAACACTTTTGTAGCCTGCTCAAACACTGTTGTAGCCCACTCAAACATTTCAAAATATTATTCACTCCACCAACATATTCTTTTAGCCCCACACACATTTTGTAAGTCACCAAAATATATTCTGCCTCATGCGCAGATTTAATTAAGGCTTTCCATTTCAGGAATGCCAGCTTGCCATGCTTAAGTAATTGATCTCCCTTCCTCAACGGTAGACCCTGTACTTTGTGTGAAAGCTGCAACATTCCCCTCAAAAATTGTCGCAGCTTTCACACAGCACAAGACCCTGCAAGCAAGCCTTGCAATAGGTGCCATGCATATGTACCCAGTATGATACAGTCGTGGACAAACAAAGACAACAATTTCAGTAGCTTGGGAAGAAATGAATATTTTGACAATCTGACTTCAGATTCGAACTCAGGATGGGAAACTGTCCAAAAACACCCCTCCAAAGTTTTTCCCACAAGGGATTGGGTTGGCCAAAATTTTTGACAATTTTTGTTGTTTTGTAGGGGTCTTCAACAGGTCTTGGGACCCCCCCTGACAGGCTCCTAATGCCAGTGATCATTTAAAAGTTGAGTGGCACTTGCTAAACATTGTAATTCTGATCAGAAGTTAATAATATGCATGTGTTGAAGGTGGGGAGGGGAACGGGATTGTGAAGTGTTCACTCTGAACTTCTCACATAGCTGAAGCCAAGAGGGAAGGAGGAGGCAAGAATGGGTGGATCTGGGATCAACACCCATAAGTGAGCAATGAGCAGTTACAAGATACTCAGCTGGCCCAACATGATTATGCATACTGTAGGAAGTACAGATATACAAAGCACTACATGTAGTGCAAGAGGATGGCAAGACTGCTGACAAGATGGTAAAAGATCAATAATTATGTAAGATATCCAAATCTAGCTATATACCATTGTTTGACTATGGCCTCTGGGCAGTATCACAGGGGTCAACAGGCCAGGGTTCATTGAGGGTCCGTGGGGGTGGGAAGATTCTGAGTTGCCATTTTGGGTGACTTAAAATCATTTTTTTCGACAAGAACAGCTCATCAGATTTTCCCCAAACTTCAGGATCAGAAACAGAGTTGAAAAAGGAGTCGATTGCGCCATTTTTCATAATTTTAAGGGTTCATTCAGGGTCCGGCCAATATTTCTGGGCTAAAATTTCCCATTTCATTGATTTCGAAAAATCTGCTTGTGTAAATCAAAGTGTTGGGTCCTAATATCCATGTTTCTGCAATAAAAAGTAATATTGAGGGTTGTGCAGTGTCCCCATCTCACAATCACCAAAATTGTTGTCTTTGTTTGTCCACGACTGTACAGTGAGGAAACATACCTTCAGAAATACCTCTTATACATGTTTCCACTAACAGAAGGTGTGCATAC